CCGGCCCGGGGAGGGCTGCTGGCGGAGATAAGCGGCAGGCTGGGGCAGGGAGGCCGCAGCAGTACGACCTTCCCTTCGGGCCCCGCCGGCGGCCCCGGAGGGCGGCGGGGCCACAGCTCTGCCTGGGAGGAGGGAGGCCCCCGAATACGTAGTCCCCATCTACGAGAAATACAGGCAAAAAACATAAATATTGGCGGTCACACAGACGGGCATTTAAAAAAACCCAAACCATAAGGCAATAAGAAACGTTCGCACGGCAAGCAGAACCCGTGTGTGGAGTGATCCAGTTCGGACAAACCCCCTCAGCAAAGCGTGCACAACCCGTGGAGGGTGACTCGTGCGACGTGTCACGGTTAATGCACGGTGTGCGCCCCTTACCCGCCAGCTTCCTTCCCCTCCCGACAGGGAATGGGTGAGTGCTGTGCGGCAGTGGGAGCCCAGCTGCTCTTCTCGACACCTTGCCTGATGCACGGTCGTGGTGGGAAGACAGCTTGAAAGCTACTGGGACAACCGCACTGCCATTCCCAAACTGCTCGTGGCAGCCCAGGTAGGGGTGCTGGGACGATTTCTGCGTACTGGTGAGAAACCCCGACAGCCTTGGCCCAGGTACACTAGTCCCATTACTTTTAAGTTGAATGATGTCTATGCCAGAAGGAAAATGAGTACCCATTTTTCATTTCCTATAGCAGCATCCTTAAATATGCTAGATAACACTATAAACCTGTATTTACAAAGTCCAAGCAACATGCCTACATCTCATCATCTAATTGGGCTACCTGTTTATAAAGCTTGATAGTAAATGTGCAGGTGTTTTTCTTTTTTCCATATATAATTATGCCACTGCTCTTGAATGAGGCACAGTAGTTCCACCTCAAATACAAACATAGCAAGCATATAAAAAAAGTTGTGTTTACCTACACAAAATGTGTCTTTCACACACGATTCATGCAACTTTGGGCACACATCCTCAACTAAAACACACCCATTTAGGGTGGGGGCATTTAAATACAGTTATCAGCCTGAAGTCAGTAGTATGTATGCTTGGAAGGGGAAACATGTATGAATGTAACTAAAACCTTCTTCATCATTCAGTCTACCATAGAGGCATGAAAAACTTCTACTTTCTTAGAATGCTTCCAATCATCACTCTTGAGTCACCCGTCTGCTGAATGAATCTCAGCATGAAAGACTGAGCATGGGATAGAACAACAGCCTTTTTCTAAGATGGTTTTCATCTTTGGTATATTACCAAAAGATGATAAAAGCAAAAGTCAGTATTAAAGTCTAAACAGTTCAACTGAGTAACAAAAAAATAGTATTGGTAACTTTATCAGTATAGGAAAAACATATTTTCTTTGCTAGCAAGCTTCATTCTAAGCTGCTATTTCAGGCCCCAGAAAGTTACTAGTGAAGATCATTTCTAATGTGGCTTCTGCAGTTCTTACAAAAATGTGATGAGGTTTATAAAATAAATAATTGTGTATTAAATACATTTAAATAAAATTTTTAATGGATGACAAAACAGTCTTAAATATAGCTATAAACCAAATAATCATCAGAACAATTAAGTTAGGGGAGATGGATGTGTGTTTATCTAGCAGTTTAACTGAGATTAAATTGCCTAAGACAGTTAACTGTGCTGCATACCTGAAAGAGAATTTCTTCCTTCCCCTTTTTTCAGCACTGATAACTAACTACTCATAGCACAATACATTTTCCAACTCTGAAAACTGGGACATCAAAAGCATGTGCAATAGTGCAAATAAACAGTGCCACCAACTCAGTGTCCGCCTGTATCATTAGAAGGAATGATACAGATGGTTCAGAAGAGTTCTTCTAAATTATCAGTCTTTTAGTATTTATTATTACATTTTATTAGCATAAATTTAGTTCTAAACTATTATTTATTACTGTTACTTTTGATACTGTTCTTTTTCTAGAAACCTGTAAATGCAGAGTGTCTTTACGGACTTTCTTTGTATGTGGAAAGTTGCTCCCCTGAGAATATGCTCTCACAAGACAAGCAGGATCCTCGTTATCAAGAATTGTTATGAAGCACTTACTATTCTTCAATTTTAATTTTCAATCAATTTCCTAGAGTTTACAACAATTTAATCCAGCGGATATGTATACCTCCTCAACTGTGTTTATTCTGTGTCACACAGCATTTTGCAAGTTATGACTGCACTCTTTCAGCAAATGATTTATTGCTTACTGGTTTAATGCTTGTAATATATAACCCAGGTCTGGGGGGTTTATTTTAGGGCTTAACTATATGGAATTTGTAGTTGCATAAGGAAGCAGCAGCTGCAAAGTGAGAAGTGGATCTGCTGAATGAGTTTTCATTCAGATGAGTTTAGAAATTTCACAGTTGAAAACTTCACCACTAAACTACCAAGTATCACAAACAAGGGGGTGAGTATGCATAAATGTATTGGTTTTTGTTTTGGCTTTTTTAAAAAAACCCCAACTTTTATCGTTGTCATCATGTCTTAGAAGTTTATACACTTCATTTCCATTAGCAAAACTGAAAGTAACTCTGAAGAGAGAGCTAACTCAAACATGTCCAGAGAAGGGCTACAAAACTGGTGCAGGGTCTGGAACACATGTCCTCTGAGGAGTGGCTGAGGGAACTGGGGTGTTTAGTCTGGAGGAGGCTGAGGGGAGACCTCATCACCCTCTACAGCTACCTGAAAGGAAGCAGTGGAGAGCTGGGTTTGAGCCTCTTTAGCCTAGTAAAAAGCGACAGGACAAGAGGGAATGGCCTCAAGTTGCACCAGGGAAGGTTTAAACTAGATATTAGGAAGCATTTCTTTACAGAAGGGGTTGTTAGGTGTTGGAATGGGCTGCCCAGGGAGGTGGTGGAGTCCCCATCCCTGGAGGTGTTCAAGAGTAGGGTCGATTTAGAGCTTAAGGATATGCTGTAGGTGGGAACTGTGCTAGGCGAACGGTTGGACTAGATGATCTTTTTTTTTTTTTTTTTTTTTTTTTTTTTTTTTTTTGTGAAGTGCATGGAAAAACTGCAAGAATGGAAAAACTGTAAGAATGAAGGTTTTTTTGAGGAAAAAACTAACTTAATTTCACATGATGAAATATGCTATAGAAGACAAAGTTGGAATCCTTTTTGGTTTGTTGCCAGCTATTATCTTGCTTGAAAACACTTTGAGGAAACAATACAAAAGAAAGTATTTGCAAAAACTGCACATCTAAAAGTTTACAGATAGCTGGCTACAGATGGATGAAAACCAAAATGGGATTTAGGATCCCAGTTCCCTAAGACCTCTTTGGCAATTCTAGCTTTCAACTTGAATAAAAATAGATGGGTAAGGAAAAAAATTAAACATGATATTTCTAGAACCAAATAATTATAATAAGTTGTCATTAATTCTACATTTAAGTCAGGAATACTGAAAACTAAAACCTAAGAAGAAATACAGAAACTTTTAAGTCTTATTTTCTTCTTAAAATTTATTTCAAAGACATAAATAACAGTGGTTTCAATTTTACCATGTAACTAATTCTTTCCTTAACAAGATAAGACAGTACATTACCAGCTCTAGAAGGAGTTCCAAGTAAAGCTCAAGTTCTTCTACTAATTAAATTCTTGGCTGTTATAAAGATCCTTTTCACATTTTATGAAAATGGGCATGTGTTTTCCCCAGTTGCCAAATATAATACCTCTATTCCTTAAAGCGTTTTTGTCTCTATCCCCAAGGCTTTGAAAAAGATTCTTAGCAGCATCAAACAGGACTGACCTGTTTCTTCAGTCTTTCTTTGTTCCTGTGCACAAGCACAGCAGCAAACAAACCTCCATAAAATGACAGAACATAAAAAACCCCCAAGAAATCTCAATGGCACTGCTTGTCTGGAGATTGTTTTATGTATGTTTACTAGTATCTATGTTTTCAGTTCTCTATAGGAAAAAAAATAATGTAGCAGTCTACAAACATTTCAAACACTTTTACACAAGAATTCAGTAAACAATCAACATTAATAAATATTTACTCCTTCAAAAAATCAATTTTTGAAGAAAATATAATGTATTTGGCTTGCACATAATTTCAAAATGGCCAGGTGGAATAACAAAACCTTGATAACAGTCCATTTTTAGGACCTGCCCTTCCCTATATGATTTACCTAGTAAACAAATACAAAACAACATGGCTTTCTATCAAAATGGTCAAATCAATCTATTTAAGAGCAGGGTTCCTGTCCTGGTTCAGCCAGGATAGGGTTAAGTTTCCCCAGCAGAGAGGGAGAAGGGATCTCCAGCCGGTTTATTCATACCATGCTGTTGTCAGGTCCCACACAGCAGTACAGGAAGCTTTTTCCATTGTGGCGGGGAGCATTGTGAGTGAGCTGTCTATAACCACTCGGTATTTCTCTGTATATCTTTTATCTTGTTTACTGTTATTGCTGTTTATTGTTGTTATCATCACTACTGTTGTTGTTCAGATTGCTT